ACCGATCTCGGTCGTTACTTGAAACACGATCCCACAATGTTTTAGGGGAGAATGACCCTTCCTCAGAACTCCAGCTGAAGTTTATTCCGATATCATACTCGGTGCACCGAGTTCACTGTTAATTTCGGCGTTTCTATAGCAGAAGTATTGAAGGCAAACAACTTTGACAGCAATTGTATAGATCCTGACTGAAACCGCAGCTGGCGTCCCATGTGTCTCTCGTCTCTTTATCTGAGGAAAGATAGACCTGCCTCACACTGGGACTTCATAGGAACACTGCAAGGAGTACGCTTCCTCTGGGACGGGAATGTTGTGCTCAGAGCATGGAAATATTCTGGACAATAATCCGGGCGCTGATTAATCCACTGAGGATGAATTTAAATTCAATTAAGTAAACACATTTAAAACAAGAAGCACGAAAATTTCAATCTTAGTCTCCAATAAAAAGATGGTCACAAAACCCGCACGGTTCAATCCAAGAGGAAATTTGCTGTCCTGGGCTGGTGTGGTCGATACAATACATCACACCTCCAGGAATGTGATTGCTACCAGTCCTATAGACGGCTCCTGACCCGAAACGTCGACTCTTCTGCTCCTCTGATGCTGCCTGACCTGCTGTATCCCTCCAGCTCCGCATTGTATTGACTCTGACTCCAGCATCTGTAGTTCTTGCTGTCTCTGATACTTACCCCTGCAAGTTCTATGAAACAGTTCTGGAAAAATCAACAAAGGGGGACGAATAAGCTATCTAGAGGATGACAGAAACTTTCCAGACGGTTGCTCAAAGTGCTGCTCACCAACATCTCCAGAGCTGTGTCAAAACTGGGAAAGCCTCACTTCGGAGATACTCTGTTTCTGGTTCAGTTCCGTTTGTAGAACCCCGGATTTCTTCGCTGTGAGAGAATCTAAGGAAGATTTCAGCTGATCCTGGAATTGGGAGAGAAGATCATTTAATTAAACGGTTAGCCCGTGGAATCATAATAAAACAATCACCTTTTAAAATATTTCGATGTTACCTTGTAGATTTTAACAGCTCCTTTAATCGGGATGAAGCGGTACTCTCTGCGTTCCTCGGTGACGCAAATCACACAGATCAATTTCTCGTCAGTTTCACAAAACAGCTTCAGATCTTCCTGCTGTATCTCACAGTGACGTTTACTTTCCTTCCCTTTCAGATCCAGCTTTAATTTTCGAGCCTCCTCGGCCAGATTCGCTAAGGCCCGATTTACCCTGCGATTTCTTTCCGGAAACTCCTCTCTACATTCCGGGCAAGAGTTTATTTCCTTCTTTTCCCAACTCTGGGTGATACAAGAGCAGCAGAAGTTGTGTCCACACTCCAGTGAAACCGGGCCGGTGAAGAAATTCAGACAAATGGGACAAACTGCCTCTTGGCCTGCTGTGTTCAGCCTTTTCTGATGAAGGGTCTCGGCCCGAAACGTCAGCCTCTCTGCTCCTATGATGCTGCTTGGCCTGCTGTGTTCATCCTTTTCTGATGAAGGGTCTAGGCCCGAAACGTCAGCCTCTCTGCTCCTATGATGCTGCTTGGCCTGCTGTGTTCATCCAGCCCTGCACCTTGTTGCCTCCTCGGTCAGTCTGTGGAGCTGCTGTCTGGAAGCCATGTTCAATCTCAGCACTTTCTGATTAAATTTAGTTTTACTTTGGACGTTTCTGCGCTGCTGAACACTTTCAGTTCAATGATTTCCCAAATTATTTTACTGCAAGACTTCGAGAACCATTATACACATCTAGTCTTCGTTCTATCAACATTTTCGCAGGTAAGGAAATAATATATAAAATGTAACATTTTGACGGAGAACCAGGATTTGAACGTGTTGAGGGAGTGTGAACTCTGCACCAAAGGGTGAAGGTCCATCGAATGTTGACATTGTGGGAAGGGCAGGGGGGGAGGGGGTGAGGTGAGATGGCAGGATCGAGCTTTCTTTGAACTTTGTACTTAACTCAATGCCGATTGTAAATCCCGTGGTGAAAATCAGCGAACTGCTCATCCACCGGGTTTCACCAGAGGGTCTGTAATCGGCAGTGAGTTTAGTCTGGAGCAAAGTTCGGGGGAAACTCGCTCCCCGCCCATTTCCACCACGGCCGCCCTCTCTCTGCCCGTCCCTGAGTGACAGCACTCTCTGCACCTTCACACTCCCCACCAGCGTTCAACTCTCTCCACGTTTTCTAACTGTGTGTCTTCTTCAATATGTGAATATTTCCGATCGTCTCTGTCAAAATATCGAGAGGACAAAGTTTAAAGTAAGCATTGTTTGCAGTGAAATTCATCGGGAAACAATGAACTGAACGTGTTCGTCAGCGCAGGAACATCAAACCTGAAAGTGGTTTGAATCAGGAAGTACTGAGATTGATCATGGCTTCCAGTTTCCTCCCATAGTCCAAAGATGTGCAAGTTCGGTGGATTGGCAATGATGAATTGCACAACGTGTCCAGGGATGTGTAGGTGAGATGCATTAGCCATGTGAAATACAGGGATAGGGTAGGGGGGTGAGTCTGGGTGGGTTGCTCTCTGGAGAGTTGGTACGGACTTGTTGGGTATCTGGCCTGTTCTCACACTGTAGGGATTCTTTGAGTGGCAGATGAAGTTTAATTTAGTTAAAAGTGAGGTGCTACATTTTGGAAAGGCATATCAGGGCAGGACTTATTCCTGTGCTTACACAGCTTCCTTGGTTTTCATAGACTTGGACAGTACAGAAGATGCCCATTGATTCTGTACCATCAACACAACATTAAATCGACACTCATCCCACTTTCCAGCACTAGCCCTACTGCCTTGAATGGTATGACATTAAGTTTCCATCCAAGTGCTTCTTAAAGGTTGTGAGGTTACACACTTCAACTGTCTTCCTTGGCAGTAAATTCCAGACTCTCCACCCTCTTAGTGAAAATAAATTTCATCAAATCCCCTCTCAATCTCCTGCTTTAAGTGTGCTTCTTGTTTAGGTATGATCCCAGCTGAAGTTATGTTGCAGATTACATTTTAACAATACAACAAAAGTTTATTAAGCAAAATAAATGGAAATATAAAATCATGCCACTTACTTATTCCAGAACCTTTATTTATTTAAAAGTATAATTCCATAACACTCCTTTACAAATTACCAACAAAACATCTTTTGCACTGTACTCACCCCAGAGTAGGGAAATAAAATGCTTCTTTACATTGCGATAGGCTTAAGGTGATTGTGACTTTAATTTCTAGATCACCAAAAGATTAAACGTACTCAGCTTCAAATAACTTCTTCAGGATTTTATACCAATGCTTGTTGTTTGGGGCTATCACTAACTCTTTACGCTACAGTAATCTAGTTTTACTATATTCTCCCCTTCTCAGAAGCACTGCTCTTTACCACCATTAATACAAGAACTTTGCAGAACTGTCCCAGATACAAAATAATACTGAAGAAGAAAGTCTCCCTCCAAACTATGGCTGAATCCCATAAAAGTAGAAATATCTAGTCTGGCTTTATTTTTTAACAGTCCTTAAAGTTCACTGGTTTGCCTTCCTAAATCATAAAAACCTTAAGGTAAACGAACATCCAATATTCATTATGGGGTGTGGTCATTGCTGGCTATTTATTGTCCATCCACAATTACCCAGGCAGCAGTTGAGATACATCCACATTGTAGGAGTCACTTGTAGGCCACGCCAGGTAAGGACAGCAGATTTCCTTCCCTAAAGGGCAGTAGTGGAAGAGATGGGTTTTTCTGACAAACGACAATTGTTAGACTCTTATTCCAGATTTTTTTTGTTGAATTCAAATTTCACCATCTGCCACGGTGGAATTTGAACCAGGTCTCCAGAACATGACCTGGGTCTCTGGATTACTATTCTAGCAATAATACCATTAAGTATTGCCTTACCTTGTACAATAAGGGGAGTCACTATTTAAATGTGTGGCTCCTGATGTTTAAAACACAGACGAGGTGATTTCTTTTTCTTGAGTGGTAAGTCTTTGGAACTCTCTTCCTGAAAAGCTAATGGAAGTAGAGTCTCTGAACCTCGGACTCCAGAGTTTAAACACTTCATCGGAGGCTGCACTGATGATGTTACCCAGCAGGATAATGAACCATCTGCGAACTAACGAACCAGCTCAGTGAGCGAACCAACCACAGAATCAGTGCAAAGCCTCTGATGTTCTGCAGGTGAAAATTATTCAGAAACAGTTAAAGCAAACGGTTAAAATGGTGGAGGAGCAACAAACTCAAAATGTTATGAAGAGGCGCTGAGAGTTTTCTGTTGAGCCAGCAGTCATCAAGTGGAGCAATACCTGAATATGCACTCTTTGAAAGACTGATGCCTTGACTGAGAAACTGCCCCCAGGCCAAGCACTGACTGAGAAACAGGCCCAGTCCCGGCAAAGGCTGAGAAACGGCTCCCCCCTTCCCACCCCCAGCCCGGGCACAGGCTGAGAAGCAGCTCCCCCGAGTCCGGGCACAGGCTGAGAAACAGCTCCCCCAAGCCCGGGCACAGGCTGAGAAACAGTCACAGTGAATCTGCCTTTAGCCAAATATGAAAATTCTGGTAAAATCACTTACCAACATTTTTCCTTATATTCAATACGCTGTAATAGACAAAAGAAATGCTGATTTACAAACTGTCTTTTCACAATATCAACATTATCAATCTGTTATCCTTTTCTGCACTCTGTACTGAACTCTGCTCTGAGCTCAGTCTCCAATATTCAGTATCACTTGTCCTGTGGAACTAACAGTGTCTGACGGAAGCTATTACTGAGAAACAGCTCCCAGCCTGAGCACTAACTGAGAAACATTGGAATTATTGAGTTATAGGGTTATACAGCATGGAAACAGACCCTTTGGTCCAACTCGTCCACCCCTCAACCTCCCACGCTTCTGCTGAAAACGATCCGGTCTATCTAACCGCTCCTTACCGAGAAGGAGTGGACGGAGGTGGAGTGAGCAGGGAGTAGGTGGAGGAGGAAGTGGGAAGAAGGGGGTGGTGGAGGAGGAAGAGAGGAGGGGAAAGGAGGAGGAAGAGTATGTGGGAGGAAGAGAAGGAGGGAAGAGAGGGAAGGGTATTGAGGGGCCAGAGTGGAGACAAGCGAGAACAGAAGGAAGGGGAGAAGAACAGGGAAGAGAAGGGGGAGGGAGGAGGGGTTGAAGAGAGAGGAGGAGAAGGAAAAGGTGCTGAGGAGGGGTAGAAGTGCAGAAGGTGAGGAAAAGGAAGAGTTGGAGACGAAGAGGTGAAAATGGAAAGGGAGGAGGGGAATAGGAGGAGTGTCTGCTTCCCACTCAGTGTACCCAACTCAGTCCCACCCCAGCCCGTTCTCTTTCAGTGACTTAATTTATCACCTCTTTTCATTGCCCTGAATCATAAAGCAGATCCCAAAAAGACGAGTGCAGGTATGATAGTTATGACGATCCAGAACCCTGGCAGCAGTCCTTGCTTGGGGAAGAAGGCACATGTAATGAGAGAGAGAGAGCAAGAGAGAGAGAGAGAGAGGGAGAGAGACAGAGAGAGAAATAAAACAAAAGTCAGATGCTTGAGAACAAGTTCACCCAAACCCACCGTCATACCCATTGTCTGGGTTAGATCACCTTCTTCATCCACTGTTACACCCCATCCCTCCATCAATGCCACTCCCTCATCTCCCACCTCCTTCATTGCCTCTTCCTCTGTTACAACCTGTCTCTTAATCGCCAAGACACCACAGAATTCCATAGATTCCAAAGAATCCCTACTGTGTGGAAACAGGCCATTCAGCCAAGAAGTCTACACTGATCCTCCGAAGAGCACTCCACCCAGACCCATTCCCCCTACCCTTTCCCTGTAATCCTATATTTCCCATGGCTAATGCACCTAACCTACACATTGCTGAACACTATGGGAGATTTAGCATGGGCCAATCCACCTAACTTGCAAATCTTTGAACTGTGGGAGGAAACTGGAGCACCTGGCAGAAACTCACACAGACACAGGGAAAATGTGCAAGCTCCACACAGACAGGTGCCCAAGGGTGGACCATCACCACGAGATGCCTGCTGTTGCTGGATGGATGCTGATCAGCCTGTATTGGTCTATTGTCACCAGTTGTGGCTGATTGGGTCACAGGGAGCCTGTTTCAATCAGAGTTTCCTGGGGATTTTACATTTCTCTACAATGAGATTCAGTTCCTTTCCGCCAGTTTGCTGAGTATCTGTGAAGGTCTTCTCCCACTGTGACTGACCTGTAATCTGGATGTGAGCCTTTTGTTTCTCCTTCAGGATCACATTGTTAATGACACAAGTGTACTTATTGGTGGAGTCTTCTGGGATCTCAATGAAGCTGCTTACCGTGAGAAACCCCTGAGTGTCCGGCTGGTACGTGGTTTGCTGCTGGGCCGTCACGTTCTCTCCATCTCGCTCACCCACAGGATGGGCGGCTGTGGGTACCACCCTTCGGATATGCAGCCCAGTCTGATGCCATTGTTCACGTAACCCTCCATTCGATCCAGGACTGGCAGCCTGCTGCATTAGATCTCCAAAACTGCATCACCCCACCTTTATCTGAATTAAACTTGATCTGCCATTTCTGAACCCAAGTCTCCAAGCTATCTAAATCCTGCTGCACCCTTTAGCAATCCTGCTCACTATCTGCAGCTATCCCCTCCTTCTCCCCCACCAAGCTGTCATTCCGTGCCACTGGGCCTGACCTGAGTCTACCCACCACTGCGCCTGATCAAATTCCCCTCACCCTTCCCACCAGACCTGAATCACCTACCCACACCACCATCACCAGATGTGATTCCTCCCACACTTTCTGACCTATCCTACACATTGCATTAATTACTTTGCCATATCAAACCCTGATACTGTACCCATTTGACACACTACTTACCTTGTTTTCTAACCCATTCCCAGTTGTTATCCTACTTACCCTGTACCCATAGTCCCTTTCCAGCTAACAACTTACCTACCTGGCAGCCTATTAACATGGCACCGTATTATTTACTCATCTGGCAATCTGGCTTCCTATCCCTGACAGTTTACTCTTTCACAAGTTCATACCCTTCCCAGCCAGCATTCTACTTACCTATACCATTTACCCATTTGATACCCTCCCCTCCCAGAACTTTAAGATCACAGTTACCATATGCATTATAGTTTGACAGCAGCTATCAAAATGGCTTTAAATGTCAGAACGTTGTGAAAGGGGAATGTGATTTACCGTCCTCTGATAGTTCTATTTCATGAAAGAACCATCAGAGTGGGAGAATGGCTCTGTATTTCTGAGGAAGCCCAAGTGGAATCTCCTGTCAGAAATGCAGAGCTACCTTCTTTTATAAAAATGAAGGGCTGGAATTGCAATCAGCGTGAAATTACCACTCCTCAGAAAATCCAGCCCATTGTCTCAGATTGTTTAATGCAAGTCAACATAACCACTGTTGAAGGAAATTGGACAAACTCCAGTCAGCTCATGCAGAACCAAGAATCTCCAAACAACTGCTCAACTGACAGTATGAAGATGACCAACGTAATAGCTGCATTGGTTCACAATATTCATTGCTGACCAGCCAAAGGGTGATTTCTTCATGCTCAGCTCTCAATTCTAACCCGTGTATTGGTGTCATGATTTATTCTCTTTTCTCACATTGTATTAACTGATTAACTCATTCTCTAATTCAAATAGGTCTACTTAAATTGGCTCCTTTTAAAACAAAAATATGTTTGTGGTGGGATAAGATATCAACAAGGGAAGGGTAACCTTTCAATTTTACATTATTGGAACTAATTGAGGGGTAGGTGAATAATGAATGGAAATCCATTCATTCCTCCTCACCCAGAAACACAATATTTGGAGGCATACCATCTAGAATAGTAACAAATTGGGGACCTTCATCTGATGACTGTTCTTAACAGAACCCCAAGTTTCCAAAAGTCACTAATAATGCATCACGACCATTTATAACAGGTGATGTAAAGATTTAAAGCTGGAAGACACTCATGAATCATTTCATATTTGGCAACATGCAAATTACTTTTAGTGGAAACTGAAAGAATTAAATTAATTCAGATTAATCGAAGAATGTTGAGGGCAATTTGCGGCTGGACTGGTAATCATGCCTGGGGTTAAAACTTTAGGTCAATCGTTCCAAGTAAAATCTTAATCCCAGAGGTGAACAATGGATTGAAGCATCAAACCTGATCCCCAAAATCCTGGAAATAAACATAGAAGCATAGAAACATAGAAAATAGGTGCAGGAGTAGGCCATTCAGCTCCTTGAGCCAGCACCACCATTCAATACGATCATGGTTGATCATGCAATCTCAGTATCCCATTCCCGCTCTCTCCCATTCCCCTTGATCCCTTTAGCCATAACGGCCATGTACAGCCCCCTCTTGAACATATCTAATAAGTTGGCTCCAACAGTTTCCTGTGGGAGAGAATTCCACAAGCTCACTACTCTGAATGAAGAAATTCTTCATCTCAAGCTTAATGGCTTACCTGTTATTCTTAGACTGTGACCTCTCGTTCTGGACTTCCCCAATATTGAGAACCTTCTTCCCACATCTATCCCATCCAGTCCCATCAGGATTTATAGATTTCTATGAGATCCCCCACCCTAATTCTTCTAAATTCCAATGATTACAAGTCCATTCGATCCTGTCTTTCCTCATGTATCAGCCCTGCCATCCGGGGTATCAGTCTGGTGAACCTTCGCTGGACTCCCTCACTAGCAAGAATGTCCTTCGTCAGACTAGGTGACCAAAACTGTGCACAATACTCAAAAGGTGTGGCCTCACCAAGGCCCTGTCAAACTGTAGCAAGATATCCTTCCTCTGATACTCAAATCGTCCTGCTTTGAAGGAGAGTATGCCATTAGCCTTTCTCACTGCCTGCTGCACCTGCATGCCTACCATTACACCCAGATCTTGTTGTATTTCACCTTTTCCTAAACTACCACCATTCAGATAATAAGTGACATCATCACAAATAAAGCTGCATGAGGACACTATCTAACTGGGCCAGGACACACTGCAACACCCTGGAACTATGCAGGAAAGAGAAAGAACACCTGTACAAAATCCTCACTATAAACGGATATCACTGCAATTTCATCTGCAGATGCCTACTAAAGAGGCAACAACAGGAGGACATAGTACGCCCTAACACACTGCCACACTGCCCTACATCAAGAACATATCTGAAATGACAACAAGACTCCTAAGACCATGAGGAATCATGGTGGCCCACAAGCTCACAGCCACTCTACGACCAACACTTACAAGGATTAAAGAGCCCATTCCCACAACATGCAGAACCAACATGGTTTACAAAATGCCAGGCAATGACTGGCACAAACATTACATTGGACAGACAGGAAGGAAACTAGCTATCAGAATACATGAACATAAACTAGCAGCAAAACGACACGATGAGCTCTCCTTAATATCAGTACAGTCAGACAATGAAGGCCATCAGTTTAACTGGGACAAGGTAACCATACCCAAGCCATACAGACACATGCATGGAAACTCCTAGAGGCATGGTTCTCCACCCGTAATGCAATCAACAAACACAGAATTGGACCCCATATACAAATCCATACAAATCAAAACTGGAAATGACACCACTCACCATAACAGACCAAACAGTATAAATTCCAAATGGAGTAGAATAACACCGCTTCATTGGAGGCTCCACTGATGATGTCTCATAGTATGGTGATGAAACGCCTGAACGAGGACAAGCCAGCTCGGTGAGCAAGTCAACAATACAGTGAGTTTTGGTTCTGTTGAAAGTGAGGCTGCACAATTAAGAATGGAGAATTGGAAATGGCAAATTAATTTAACAAGTATTTTCCCAGAGTCGTCATGAAAGAGTTGACAAGTAACATCCCGAAATCAATCAAAAAGTGGAAGCAAGCTTACAGTCACTCGATAAGTTGTACTGAATAAATTGTTTGAGCTGCAGGCTGACAAGTGCTTGGATCATGACAGACTCCATCTTATTGTCCTAACAGAATTGGCTAGTGAGATAATTGTGCACTAGTTTTCATTTTCCAAACCTCCATTGATTCAGGTATGTTATTATTAGATTTGAAGACAGCAAATTAATGGGAAGGTGATGGCCTAGTGGCACTATCGCAGGACTGTTAATCCAGAGACCCAGATAACATGCTGGGGACCTCAGTTTGAATCTTGCCACAGCAGATGGTGAAATTTGAATGCAATAAAAATCTGGAATTAAGAGTCTCATGATGACTGTAATTCCATTGTCAGAAAAACCCATCTAGTTCACTAATATCTTTTAGGGAAGGAAACTGCCGTCCTCACCTGGTCTGGCCGAGATGTGACTCCACAGCAATGTGGTTGACTCTTAACTGCCCTCTGGGCAATTAGGGATGGGCAATAAATGCTGCCTAGCCAGCGACACTCTCATCCCGTGAATGATTTTTTAAAAAAATTTACTCAAAAAGTGAGGGAGACAGAAAGCAGAAAGTCACAGGCCAGATGGTCAAACATCTGTCATCAGGAAAATGTTCAACATTATCCTTAAAGACCTTATAGCAGAGCACTTTAATAATTTCACTGTGATCAGGCAGAGTCAAGATGGATTTATGAAAGAGAAATCGTCTCTGTCATAATATGTTGGTGTTCCTTAAGAAGGTAATATGTGCTATTAATAAAAGGGAAACCGGTGGATGTACTATATTTAGATTTCCAGAAGGCATTTGAATAGGCATCAGATCAAAGATTATTGCAGAAAATAAATGCTGATGGTGGAAGGGTTAGAATATAAGCAGGGATAGAAAATTAGCTGGCTAACAGGAAGCAAGTGTAGGCCTAAGTGAATCTTTTTCATGTTGTCAAGATGAACAAATAGTTAGGATACTATTGCAGAATGATCACGATGGAGGAGTAGGTGTCGTTCTGTTTTTTTCTTCCAAGTGTGTTAATCTAGCTTCTCGCTAAATACATCAAGACTATTCAGTAAGTTCCATATTCTCTGGCTGAGGACATTTCTGCTGAATTCCCCATTGGATTTATTAGTAACTGTCTTATATTTATAAATCCATGTTATCCATAGAATTGAAAACACCACCGATCTCGTCAAACCCCTTCACGACATTGCGTCTATTTAAAGCAATCACATTCACACAGCGCCTTTGAGGACATCCCAAAGCATTTTACCAACAGTGAAGTATTTCTGAAGTTTAATGAATGTTGCAATGTAGGAAAAACAACAATTTGCACAGCAAGCTCCCAAAAATACAAATGTGAGTAGATCATCTAAATGCTGTAATGCTGAATGAGGGATTAATATTGACCGAGATAAATGTACCTATTGCATTTTAGGGATGACAAATCAGAGCAGGACTAACACAGTTCATGGTAGGGCCCTGGGGAGTGTTGTCCAACAGAAAGAGTTACTTCGTTC